TGTTACACTTTTTGCACTGGTGTTACACTTGAACTGCACTGCTCTCAGCCAATCAGAATCGAGTAATTTTTTCATGTATATTATTAGGTCTGAAATCATACGCGTGATTTCAAAATCACAAGTCGGTCTTCAGTAGTTCGATTTGAAAATCACAAGTAGGTCTTCAGCCTGAAGGAACTCATAATCGTCATTAAAAAACTGTAATTAATTAAATTCGTTGATTGTTTTGGAAAAAACTACAATAACAACAAGTTTTTGGCAATAGTAGTTGCAAAATTCGCCACACAATAGCTTTTTGCCTTTCAGTTTGCCGAAATTTTATTGGTTACTTTAAACTAACATTGGAATCTGATTGGTTGTTTTGTTTACTGTCCTGTTCTCATTGGCTGAGAAAAAGATGCGATTTAGAGCAAAAATAGTGCGATTCGTGAATAAATCCCACCCCTGAGAGCCAATCAGATTGCAAGGATAGCCAGTGATTTCAAAATGGATTTAATAAAAATTTTAATGACGCAGTTTCGTCGAATAGATGATATATATATGTCGACTCTTAAGATATATTTATTCCAATACTAGATACTGACGAAACAGCTCTCGGACGCACACGCCGACTCAAACCCCCACCGTGGTACAAGGTGGAAAGGATGGTGCCCCCCTTGGATGCAAATAGAAAGACATCACTATCCTGGCTACCATTAAATAAATCTTTTCTGAAACCTTTTTGTCTTTCCTGTGGAATTACACTGGTCATTTGCGCCTGCTATATACAGATAACCAGTATCCTAGACAACGGAAACATACACATCTACGATCGATCACTTTCTCGGCACAGGGAAACGATAAAACAGTCCAGTAGTTCAGCTCCCAAAAAGAAGGTGAAGGAAATTGCGCGGCGGCCCGGGAAAAAGATTTTCATCGCTTTTGATTACTGGGAGCAACTGACGATGGCTACAAATAACTTCCTTGATCTGACAGCCCTTGCTGCGTATGGTGGACGACAAGTTGTCCTTCCATTTGTAAAAGACTCGCGTTTTTACGGCCAATCCACTGAGAAGGGTTTTGAAACACTCGCACTGTACTATAACGTGTCTGCACTCAATCGCACGCTTCGTTCGCACGATCATGGTACGCTTATAAGCTGGAAAGAGTTTCAAGACGTCTGCCAAGGGAAACTGGACGTACTGGTACATTTTGATTACACGAACTTAAGTAAGAGCAAGAAATATAATCGAACCACACGCGCATTTTTTCCTTGCAACGAACGCCACGGGAAAACATTTGGGGATTTGAAAGTTGAAAGAACAATTTGCATGAATGTGTTTGCGGTTGATTCAGTAGGAAAATTCGAGAATGAAGTTATAGAGAAGTTGCCATGTGTTGGCTTGGCTGAATGGAGAGGAAGTAATAACAAAAGATCATTTCGAGCACAATTTAATTTGTCACCAGTTGTAACAGATCGTTTGCACTTTCGGGACGCAGCCATTTTCTTTAGTCCAAAACTCCTTCAAGTCGCGCGAGATTTCATCGCAAAAAGTCTTGGCCCATTTTTTGTCTCTGCGCACATTCGTGCAGAAAAGATGCTAAAGTTTGGAACTACTTTTAACAGTAGTGTAGCGGTCAAGGAGTGTATATCAAACTTAACGACGCTAGTTCAAAGGTACAAGAATACCAGTACGGTTCCCATACCTCTTTTCTTAGCCACCGATTTCGCAGACTATGGAAGTTCGTCTTATCGTGCAATAGTTGCCCGAAAAAACGCTAAGTCATTGATGAAGATTTTAACTCCTCTAAAACCAATTATTTTTGAGCCTTCAATTTACAATCTTACGGATCGAGGTGCCGTGGCCATTGTGGAATTGAATATTCTGGTGTCTTCAAAGCGTTTATTTGTAGTAGGAGGCGGCTCGTTTCAAACGTGGCTAGCTGACAAATTCCTTAATGAGAACGACACTGACCACAAATCCACAGCTACGTGTCAAAATGAACTGTGCCACAGATTGTGTTGTTTATAATTTATCAGTAGAGGACTAGCATGACTTTTCAGACTCACCATTACCATTTTATACAGGCAACTCGCTGACATGATCTGATAAAGTGATTAACGAATTTGAATTGGCCGAATCCAATATATCTTATATAAAAAAACTGGATTTATTAGACAGTTGGGGATATTAGTAGCTACCATGTTACTTTGCATTTTCTATGAAGCCCGCCAGTCTTTGTAAACTCAATTATTTGAGTTTACAAATCTCATAAAAAATATCTGATGAATATCTGATATATGCTTGGGTTCCTGAAGCTCCTGCGTAAAAATCGAACATTAGTTCCAGTGTCAGGGAAACGCCCTACAATCTGAGAGGCGCTGGCGTCAATTTATCTTTACCCAAATTCAACTTAAAGTTTATGAAGAACTCGTTTACCTATATTTGTGCGCGGCTGTGGAATAGATTAACTACACTGAGTGAAACTGGCAGCGATAGTTCTAATTTTAGGATTAAATTGAGAACTGTAGACCTTTGACTGTATATTTACAGGCCTATCGTTATTCCATTCAGATTTCTGCTGTGAACATTGCTGAATTTTTAGTGTTAATAGTATACATATTAATATATGATTAGATAGATAGATAGATAGATAGATAGACACCTTTATTTTAAAGTAAAAATCTAAAGGTAAAAATTTAGACATATTTTATACTGTGGATACTTAACTGTATTGTTTTTGTGACAATGTAACTTATTTTATTATTATTATTTTCTTTAGGTGCATACACGTTCGTATTTTGATCGAGCTTAGTATACTTAGCTGTTAGACGCAACGTGTTTAAATAAAGTGTTATTTGATTGATTGATTGCTTGCAATTAGATGTATTCAGAATTAACAATCATTCAGATACGGACTGCCTTGTTCTGTCCTAAGTTACCCTTAGTCGGACTTACAAGCAAACTCTAGCCCGACCGTAAAAAATGGCGGGGTGGATGTAACCCCTCCCCTGGGTATTCGTTGCATTATTGTTATTACCCATCCTCTCCTCCGCACGTCTGATACGTCTAGATCTGAGGAAATTGGTCTCGAGGTCTCAGTGGATCTCTGGAGTCACAATACAAGACAGTGGCATCGCCATAAGGGACTATCTGACAATGCCGATTACACTGACAAAGGCAGTTCGTTTATTAAAATAATAAACACTTATAAATGATCCAAGACACTACGTTGTGGTACACCAACAGGGACAGTTTTGGTCACTGTTAGCTATTGAGGTCTTTGTTTTCTATTGAAGAGGTACGATTTGAACATAGAAACAACCCCGTCAGAGCGTTCAGTCCCAGTCCACATAGACAGCCCAGTTAACTCTCCACTATCCACGTGTTTCAAAAAGGAATCAGCAAAATTCGTTAAAACCACATCTGTATAAGGTTTTGGACGAAAGCCAGACTGTTGAAAAAAAAAATTGTCCTTTTGTAGGCATGGATGCAGGTGCGAATGTTCAGCCTTTTTACAATATTACCAACTGTTGGCAGGACCGTGTTTGGATGATAATTGCTTGCATCGCAACGTTTTCCAGACTTAAATTGTGTTCTTACGGTTTGTTCAAGTTTCCAGGTACAAGAAAAAGTCGAACAACTTAGTTAGAGAGCGACTGAAAAATACGGGTTTATAAGGTGCCATGACAACGGCTGCCTCCTTTAGGAGACGTCCACTAATTCTGACAAGCCCTTTAGCTTTGTTTGTTCAATTTGTCCTTGGCAAGTTCAAACAGGAATTTCTTACCAGTTTATGTGCATCCAGAGGACCGATTTGTTTCTGAGACAAAAGAGCGAACATTCTGAAGACTACTTTGATTTTCTCAGGAAGTTTCGTTCCAATCGTTGAGAAGTGCGTGCATGCTACATTTTTGCCTCTCTGGAGCAACCGTGATTTTCGTTTTCTTTGGACCTTGCGCGGGTATCAATCTCGGCATTCGCAGGTCGTCTCCATACGTCAACAAACTGAATATAGAACTAAACTGTGCAAGGTTTTTGAGACCTGCTGACACGACAAAAAAGCCGATGTTTAGTTCCCAGTGCTCCTCGGCTCAATTCAGGGATAAATCGTACACCCCGCGGTCTAAAGAAATGCCGCTTTTCAGCAAAAGGCGATAGACGTAAGACATCGTTTACAAAGTGGAAAGGTTAAACCTCGTAGCGAAGATGGCGGGCATTTTCAATCAAACATGGTCGATTTTAGACATGATATTTTAATATCAAGAGATAACGTTTTTTCAGGGAGCGGTTCAGCTTTGATATTCAGCCAAAAAGTTAAAGTAGATAACTAGAAGTGCTCAAAGAGAGGTTAAGTGCTACCTTCCTTAGAACCTGTGGGTCATACCCTGTAACTGTGTAGCGGAAGGAATCATTGTATTTTTATAACACCACAGATAGTGCGTTCGTTTTCGATGAGTGGCGTAAATCNTTTTTTTTTTTTTTTTTTTTGGCTGATACTTGAACTTTCTCTGGGGAAAAATGATGCATCACTGCACTTCAATTAAGTTGGTAAGCTACAAACAAGATTAACTTGTACTTAATTGTCCCATCCGGATATGAACCTTCCGAACCGATTAATTCGCTTTAAAAGGTTGACTTTATTACCAATAGCTCAATGGCTTTTTTATCGATCTTTTAACGTCAGAAAGTAGGATTTTGAAATCGAATTATTTTCCCCCCAAAAAGCTATAACATTCTCCATTTGGATCTCATTTTAGCTCACTCCTCTGTCACCTTTATGGCATTCCAGTCCGTCTAAGAAAAACCACAAAGTGATCAAAAAGCAGATTAAGAACTAGAATATTCCAAACAAATATTACAAAGAATCTCAACATAATGGTAATTGGTTTGGATGAACGTTTTATCTGTCATGTAACAGCTTTTAGTCGAGACATGTAAAGATGTGAGCATGAGATACACACACATCTGCAGTATCATCTGAGGCTTTTAATCTTTATCACTGAACTCCAGAAGAGCAAATACTTCATGGACCGTTTTGGAAACATTCCAGCAAGATTCCTTTTACCCACTGATAATAGCTATCTCTGCGTGTTTCATAAAATGATAGCTTGACAATTTTCACAACTACAAAATTACTTTGCATTTCAGCCTGTTGTCTTCCACTGGAGACGGAATACTTTCACCAGTCGTTCTCTTGACAAAGAGCTTTTCTTGAGGAGTGGCACGGGGTCGTGTTTGCGTAAGTTCATTCGCAGACGTTACAGCCTCGAATTCTCGTTTTGTAAAAGAGGAAGAGTACCGACGAAATGATTTCATCATGAATTAAGGCTCTGATATCCCGACACTAATGATCCTTGAAATGGTAAGACGACCGTGGTACTCGCTGCAGCTCTGTCGAAGATGAAGATGACTCTTTGTAATTTTTTAGCTGGGGTCGCCGCGTCTGGTCAAATAGTCTCTATTATTGCTCTACGTAAGTGCAACTTTTTTATCCAAGTAAAACTGTCAAGACTGCTGTGGAAGTTATCCAAATTTCCCGCAGTTGTAGTGTGTTTCTTGCACTAATCTTTTCTTTGCCGCCAACTCGAACACCGCGTACGAGGTTAACTGTTCGTGAGAGCTCTAATTTACTCAATTTTTTTTTCTGGTATCGTGATAATCTGATATCGTTGAACTATTTTCCGGTCTTAAGGGCCTTATTTTGTAACTGGGTGCATTGAAATGACAATAAACATCACAGAGGGCAGAAAATACTGAGTACATTCGTAGGAGGTCCAGAACATGTTTACTTTCAACACTCCAACAAAAATACCCAGCAGATCATGTGTCTTAAAATAAAAGAAGCGGTTTTCTCTGCGAGCACGTTCTCTGTTTAATGATAAATGTGGTTTCATTTCCGGCTCACATACTCGGCCAAAGCTTGTTAAGTGCATATAAAATTATGAAAAGGGCCGCAGTATAAGCTTATCTCATCAATCCATCCGCTAGCGGATGATAGTGGGTTTTAACATTACTACAGTAATCCGTTGTTTTCAGTCAGCACTTGAGTTACTCGAACTTACGTTGACGTAGTCACTTGACGTCACGCAGGTCAGTTTACCATGCAGGGAGTTCAAATAAATCGTTCTTTCTAGAGAATGTCAAGTGATGCTGTGATGATAGCGCGGTGCTGTGCGAGATATTTATAATGCCATGAAACGATAACGGCCCCCAAATTATTTATGAATAGTTGTCAGTCTGTACTATGTAGAAAAAAAAAA